TGCTTAATGGGTGTTCAATTGTGCTTATGGGTGTTCAGTGTGCTCAATGGGTGTTCACAGTGTGCTCAATGGGTGTTCACAGTGTGCTTAAGGGGTGTTCACAGTGTGCTTAAGGGGTGTTCACAGTGTGCTTAAGGGGTGTTCACAGTGTGCTTAAGGGGTGTTCACAGTGTGCTTAAGGGGTGTTCACAGTGTGCTTAAGGGGTGTTCACAGTGTGCTTAAGGGGTGTTCACAGTGTGCTTAAGGGGTGTTCACAGTGTGCTTAAGGGATGTTCACAGTGTGCTTAAGGGGTGTTAACAGTGTGCTTAAGGGGTGTTAACAGTGTGCTTAAGGGGTGTTCACAGTGTGCTTAAGGGGTGTTCACAGTGTGCTTAAGGGGTGTTCACAGTGTGCTTAAGGGGTGTTAACAGTGCTTAAGGGGTGTTCAGCGTGCTTAATGGGTGTTCAGTGTACTCAATTTCAGCACAGAATCAAAATAGAACAATATGCTCACTTGCATCTTCTGACTTTGTTGCCTTAGCTCGTACATGTGTACAAACCAGTTGCTCACATATATAATACCGCATGTTTGGAAAGTAGAACAGACTGTACTCTGATTCATACTACTGAGAGTGAACAGTCTGCTCTGGGAATCAAACCAAGAACCTCCCTAATGCAAGCCGAACACGCTAACCACTATACCGTCACCCGAGTTGTTGTAAAATGTTCAGAAATTTTAGTTTAACATGTAAACAAGAAGATACATACAGTACATACAATTATTTTGAGAAAGTATTGAATAATGTCTACCATATGGTAATATGGAAGGTACATTGCATATCAAATTCAAAAAGGACACTCCTTTTTCTGGTGCCTTTAAAGAAAACTTTTCAGTATGAAAAGAGGTGAGATGACATGGTTATGTTATGGTTGGGACTCTTACTTTGATACAAGAAGCAATCCCTTTTGTGACAAATACGTACATAAAATATTGTCATACCTCTAACTTTCCTCATATGGGAAGAGGGAAACCTACCCTTTCATTAACAGTGCCAGTTTCATTGGATCGTGCCATCTTACCATATTCCTTGCCATACTTACAACAAAGTTGTTCAGCAACCTGGGGGAAAAAAATCACAACATCTATCAGTTATGTGAAAATGATATGAAATAGAGTTAACCAGTGCAGATAGGAATTTTGGCATGCATTTCTAAATAGTGAGTACCAATTACAGCATTGACAGACTGACAAAGTCACACATACCTAGTCCCTTGGGTCATGAGATCAAATTGTTCCCGTACTATATGTACATACCCACATGTACAAATGTGTATGCATAAAACAGTGCTGTCTGATTTTATAATATTACCGATAATCACAGTCATCCACAAAATACTATCAAATGGTGTGACGCATATTGATACAAGCCAGAACTACAAAGAAGGCAGATTTCTTTCGAAGGTGTCAATGTTGTTAGGGGAACATTAATGAAAACATGGTTTAAGAAATGGTAAATGCCACACACCAGGAGTGATGGCCAGACTCAAGAGTGCCATCAAAGAAACACAGACAACCTTTTTCAGACTCAGTTGTTAGAACTATCGTCATATTTATTAATGTAATATTGTCATTGTCCATTTTCATAATGTGGAGTTTACCACATTGCCTATTTGGTGTTGCTATTGTATTCTCTGATGATACATGTATATAGTTGTGTAAAAATAAAGTTTTCATCAGTTTGTTGTTTAGGCCAGACTTTTATTATTCCTTGTTTCGCGAACCCACCGAATGAACAGGAGCCGAAAATGAAATAAAAATAAAATTTGATTTCAGCGTAATTTCTCGCACCCGTCGACTTGTAAGCGCAAAAAATTGCTAAAAAAAATATTATTTCTATCTTCATTTTGTTACCGCCCACCTCATACCAAATCCAAGTTACATTTTCGTGGGAGTATCATGATCAAAGTACCGAAGTCTCGCGCAGATGAGAAACAAGGTTATACATGGAATAAAATTTTATTTCATTTCTTCTCTCTGATCAATGATCTCACTTACAAGTCTTTGAAAATCACACAAATCTAATGGAAAAAAAGAATTAATTTTATTTTTTTTTCGCCCTCCTCAAAAAAATTTCCTTATACAAACTCGAGAAAAATGGAATAAAAAAAGTCTGGCCTTAATGGATTTAATGAATTTGCAGTGATGAATGGTCACCACATTTATAAAATGGTAATATTATTAAATGATGTTTGAATTCAAGGAAAAAAAATATATATCTAAGAAAACATAGTTTAAGCATTTCTGTTCTTTCAGTGTCTAGGAAGTAAACAAGTGCTGCGCAAAGACACCTCCGACGATATTATATATATAAATATCCACAGACATTTATAGTGACAATAAACTACTCTGCTTAGTAGTAAATGAAATCAATAATATAACATTTAATTCTTTATTCACCTCTGCAACCAGTCTAAGCATTGTTTTAAAAATTTTAATAAAACACAAATTCCTTACCACTCGGATTTCTGGTACCTCTGTCTGCATTCTGGGAGCAGCCCAGATTACAGTGGATATCGATTCCGCTAATCCGTCATCTAAAGTTTTCATGCTTTCAATTAACCCAAACCTTGCTAATAACAGATCACAGTACATTTCTAACAATTCCATAGCTTCCACAAGATAGTCTTCTCTTATTATATGTTCCACCTAATATACAAATGAATACATGCTGCTTATCTCCAGTATTTTGAGTACCCAGAGTGTCATTACAGCTTTGATCATAAGGTTTACTTATGTACAAGAAGCTAATCTAAAACACATAGAGAAAGTTACTTGCCATAATTTTAACAGTATTGGGACATAGAATACATCAAAACAAGAATGTATTAAACTATGTATTAAAGTGACATTAATTTAGCCATCTTTTCCAATTTTGGTCTACAAATGTGTCATGGTATTGTATTGAATATCCTGCAGTAGGACCTTTGTCTATATTGTCATGAGAAGAAAATGGCAATATCTAGGGCCCATCTGTCATAAGTAACAATGACCGTGTACGAGAAAGATATTGTGTTAACAATAGTGCTTAGCCAAACAACCATAGTCCTAGGGTGGTTGAAATATAACCCAGAGGTTGGTACATGTATATGGCCAACTATGCATATATATTGCAGTATTAATTCTCATAATAACTCAAAGTTGTATAGCTGTGGCTGTCACACTCACCCTGATTCTGGCTCTCTCATCTTTTCCCTGTGATATATAATCTGCAATATCTTTCCTTGCTTTCTGAGCGAGTTCAGCTATGAAGACAATATTACTAGTGTATCAGTAATTAATGTATGGCAATATTGTTTATTCCATTATCCAGAAACATTAAATCAATTAAACAATATTTACAAATGACAGTGATCACTGGATCATGCAGTTCTTTTATTATACAGACCAGTTGACAGAGCGATGATCATAGTGCATTGTGGGAAAGTTTAGTTCAATGTGTATGATTAAGGTTTTTAGTTTGATTTGACTGTACCACAATTCTTCAAAGAAAAATGACAAGTCAAGTGTGATGTCTGTAAGTTTTATTGTGATTACCTCACCAACAGACATTTATGTACATTTTAGTCAAAATCCTTAATTATTATCATTATGTACTCAATGATAATTTATGAAAACAAAAATACTTACTTTTTTTCTTCTCCATCAGTTTAAGTCTATTGATGGCCAATCTTAGATTGGTTTTAAGTTTTGTCCCTTTATAACCACTGCCGAACGACATGTCTGTATTTACCTAAAACACAACACACATAATAAGGTGGCGGATATATTATTATTTAATACATTTCCGTGCATTACGTAATTTACCACGAACTGTGAAAATGCAAGTCATAGACAATCCACAAACCCAACACGAACATAAAATAAACTCTGCTTATATTTCACTGTCAATAATAAACGACAAGATCACGGACAGAAAAGCGGAAGTAGGAATCGTGGTGGAGGTTTGGTTCCGCTGAAACTTATCATGTTCAGCGCTGGTAGTTTAAACTGAATTTGTGAACAAAGGGTAAGTTTACAATGACGACAGACGTTACACTTACCTTGTTTACACCTCAAATTCAGACTAGTAATGAGAACAAGTTGAGAATTTAACAAGATTTGCGGTTCAAGACTCTGACTCAATATCATACGACCACCACAACGACATGACAAATAACAAATATGGTGATATACGCATGCGTGAAACATTTAAAGTAAAGCGCATAGAGGGCGTAGTTAAAACACACCGTCAACCGCATATTTGTCCTTTAACTGCATTATATTTCTAATGAATTAAATTTCATTCATTCATTCATTCATTCATTCATTCATTCATATTCATTCATTCATTCATTCATTCATTCATTCATTCATTCATTCTCTGTTATTCTGGCACCGTCCCTCAACGTTAGATGCTACATTCTCTTGCGCATACTAGTATATTCACATTTGAAGAGCTACTGGATTCGCCTTTGATCCGAATGTGAAACACGTTAATTCTGAAACTAGGAATCTATGCGAATCCACCCGCGTCGCAACTAGTTTTAACAAAGATCATCTAGGGAGACATACAGACTACTATAATCACTGGGAATACAGAGGGCCGACAGGACTCAATAATGAAGAAACCCTACTAAATAATCATTCGACTCGGAGTCAAAGCGATCGTTAATGTCGCAATTTATTATAGCACTTAAGTCACTAATAAACAACAAAAAATATCCCATAGTGCCGGGCAGCTTTATAATCAATTAGTTTTAGTTTAGTGCAGTGTGCCACGTTATCTTTGCCATTTTCATTAACCACTGTTTCAACGTAATTCCGGTTAATAATCTTATTGAGTTGGTCATAGTTCATAATACTATTGTTCATCATTTATTCAGTTTATACCTTAGTGCCTTTCACATTGAATGACAAAGTGAATTTGCACCAACTTTCATTCCTTTGAATTTGTTTATGTTCCCGAACTTCAAGTAAACTATGCTCTGAAACACAGAATTGTCACAGAATTTATGTTTCTCTCTTATATGTACTGATAAAGATTTTAAAATTCCATCATTATTCGTTTCACCATTTCTCCCTTGTCGTTAAACATCTATTCTTGCTATTTCTTACTTAATAATTACTTACGTTTGATTATTAACTTTAATAATGTCGTTAACCTTTCAACCCAAGTTGATTTTATCTGATTTCTATTCCGCTGTTCGCCAGCATTTTACCAATCATGGTGCTCTGATTAAAATTTAGAAATACTATATATATGTAGCCAACAGAATGAATGATAATTTACAATTTATATGATATCATTATATCACCAAGATGAATGGAATTAATGCTGTGCTGATATTTAGTGCTGATGATTGCTTTCTTTGATATTTCTTTCATAAAAGGTTGAATTTCCCATTCCCAACTAATAATGTAGTCCAGTCAATATGCATGCATTTAGACCTGCAACTAATTGCCACTAATGTTAACATTTCACAGATTTTGCCTTAAACAACATGTCAAATATAAACTATAATGTATGTAATAGTAAGGTGTTAAATAAAATCATATTATTTATCTTCTAAAATCTATTTAAAATTAGAGCTTCAAAATTGGTTAGAAAATTGCACTTAATCATAACATAATCAGTGTTTTTGAATGACGAAACAAAAACTTACTTTAAACAAATAATAATAACCAAATATAAGCTGAATTCTTATACTATTGTTTTGAACGTG